GTGGGGCGCTCCCTGCCTGAGGAGACCAAGGAGCTCATCGTCCAGCGCACATCCTTCAAGGAGATGAAGAAGAACCCCATGACCAACTACACCACCCTACCCTGTGAGGTCATGGACCACACGGTCTCCCCCTTCATGAGGAAAGGTGGGTGCCTGGCCAAGCGAGGCGTAGGGAGCGGAGGGAGAAAGAGCCACCGGGGCCTCCTGTGCGGCCTGGACTCAAGCCTCTTTCCTTCTGTCCCAGGGATCGTGGGGGACTGGAAAAGCACCTTCACGGTGGCCCAGAGCGAGCGCTTTGATGCCCACTGTGCCGAGAAGATGGCGGGCTGCAGCCTCCCCCTCCGCTGGCAGCTCTGAGGGCTGGCATGGGTCTTCTTCGTGCTGACGAGAATCTCCTGTGAAGCTCAGTGTGCAGCGCTTGAGGGCTTCTCTAGCTGGCGTCTCTAACATTGCTAGGCTCCTCCCACAAACCAATTCCAGAGGCTTCTGAACAGGATGGTAATGTAGCATCACACAATGCTCCTAGTTCTCTGGTACTGAAATGTTTCAGTTACTTTCATGGCACTGGGACAAAATACCCAACACCCACTACGTAAAGGACTAGAGGGTTGTTCTTGCTCACAGTTCCAAAGTTTCAGTCCGCATGCAGTGGGCTAAAGCACAGAAACGGCACGGCAGAAGTCCTGGCAGAGGAAAGCCTCTCATGCTGAGGTCAGGAAGCAGAGAGAGAAGAGAGGGAGGAGAAGCCAGGAAGGCATATACCCTTGCACATGACACCCTCTAGTTACCTGGCTGCCAGTCCCCACCTACCAAAAGCAAATCAGGGGCCGAGGATATAGCTCAGTGGCACGGGTCTGCCTGGCAAGCGCTAGGTCCTGAGTTCAATTCCCAGTACCAAAAAAGTCCAAATCAGCTATAGTGCCCCATGATCAAATTACCTCCCAAACACATGAGACTTTAGGAGCCTTTTGCAGTCCAGGCTGGCCTTGAGCTCACTTTGCTGCCCAGGTTGGCCTCGAACTTGCAATGATCCTCGTGCCTCAGCCTCCCAAGTGCTGGGATTACGGGCGTGCGCCACCACGCCCAGCAAGGTCCTACTAATCTTTACATCCATGGTTAAGACTAATACAGACATATCTCTTGACCCAATTTTGCGGCTTAGGTCACCTTTATTTTCCTACATGAATCCTATCCTTGTCTGCTATGAAAACTCCCATTCCTGAAAACCCCATGGTCCCACTCCCAGAGGCAGCTGTGGCCACATTAAGTCCAAGGCCGTATGGCCAGCTGCTTTTGCCTTGTAGGCGATAACCACCGACAGCCCAGGTGTTGTGGAGCCCCCAGTGGAGCACTTGCCCTGAGGCCTGTGAAAATTTGAGGAAACTGCACGGGAAATTCAGTATTGTGTCTCTGACACTGGGTGACACTGGGGAAAAGAAGAGGTTTGCTCAGCAGGTCATGGTTTTGAAAACTGATCTCTGTATCAATAACAGAGATAACCAGAGAGCAGAAGCCACAGTTCTCTGGTGGCTGGGTGGGCGGTGACCGTCCAGATGCCTTGTTATCTGCAGAGAGAAGGGTCACCAGAGGGTATGTAAGGGAAGAACTTTTATTTTAGTTGTGGGGCCCCAGACCCTAGATGGGCAGAGGAGCTTGTTCAAGGACAAGCAATGGACAGCATCGAGGGAAGAAGCAGCTGAACCGTAGATTCAGCCTTAGTGTCCCCGGTGACGCACCGACACAGAAGGTGGCCAGGATTCTAGTGTAATGGCCGTGTGGGCCTCTGATCCCAGTCTCAGGATCCCAATGTGCTCATGGCTCTGGCTCAGGATTTTCTGTTCAAAGGTATGGACGTGCTTCCGCGAAGCTCCCATTCAGCAGCCTAGAGTAAGAGACGGCATTGAGAAATAGCAGACCATGGCCCACTGACTGAACCCCAAAGCCAGGAGTGTGTGGGAAATGCGGGAACATGTGCAGAGAGGGATGGAATCAAAATAAAGCCAGGCCACAGAGATGGGATGCTTGGGGTCATGGGCAGTTGTAGAAGTGAGGCAGTTTGCAGGTACCACATGGCAGGACATGGTTGTCATCCTGGAGCTGGGGCCATGCTGGCTGAGGTGTTTCTGTGGGTCCCAGGTATCCCTAAAGTAATGGCTCCATCTTACACTTAGTTCACATCATGAGGACTCAAGCTGCTCCAGCAAGAAACGTTAAAGTCGTGAGCTCCCTCTCCTACTGGGCGGAGGAAAGGGGATGCTGCCCACCCTGCCCTGAGTGAGGCAGCCAGGGTGGCCCTCAGTTTTAGAGTCCACAAACATAGCGGAGGATTAAGAGTTAAAAGTAGATCAGTCTTCAAGGTTGTACAGTAAGATAACACCCTAGGAGACAAGAGGATGGGTTTCAGCTCAGCTTTCAAAGACGATGTGGTCAGGAGACTTACCTCAAAGTCAGAGCTTGGGGGGGCTGGGGATTTAGCTCAGCGGCAAAAACGCCTGCCTGGCATGCGCAAGGTCATGAGTTCGGTTCCCGGTACCGGAGAAAAACCAAAAAAAAAAAGTCAGAGCTTGGGGCCGGGGCTATAGTTCAGTGGCATGGTGCCTGCCTGGCAAGTGTGAGGTCCTGAGTTCGATTCCTGGCCCCTACCTGGGGGAGCCCAGAAAACAAAGCCAGAGCTGAAACAATAACTACAACAAACAACCCAGAAGCAAAATCATTAAAATTAAACCCACTAATGGAAAAAGAGGCGGGCATGGTGGATCACGCCTGTAATCCCAGCACTCAGGAGGCTGAGGCAGGAGGATCATTGAGAGTTAGAGACCAGCCTGGGCTACAAAGTGAGCTCAAGGCCGGCCTGAACTGCATAGTGAGACCCTGTCTCAAAAAGACAACTTAAAAAAAAAAAAAAAAGGAAAAAGGAATGATCTACCCTGCTCCAAAACCCAATTCTCCCCAATAACAAGGGATAAATTCCAGGGGACAAAGGACAGTCACATGCACAGAACAGTCACAGGATAACCTATGTTAGCAGAAGGGGAAAAAAAACACAGCAAGTTGGAACTGGAAGAAGGTGGTGAGACCCACGCCCTTGAAGAGGAGCGATCAGGAAGAGGGCGAGCGTAGGTGAGGACGGGGACCCTGCCTACCTTGAAGATGCCATAAAAGCTGTACACCTGTGTCCTTTCTTGGGTCATCTTTGGATTCCTATCCTCACCGACTTCCCCCTGTGATCCAGCATGGAAATAAAAGCCTTGTTCCTATGCCACAGCGCCTCTGTCCAGTTGCTCTGATAAAGCGCACAAGAACCCACAGGCCCTGTAAGAGGAGGGGCAGCCTCTTTGCCCTGGTCAGGTGGGTCCATGCAGCTCAGCTAACCAGGAACTTGCCTCCGAGTCCACAGAGCAGCTTCTCCTTCAGGGAGTCAGTGCTGAACCCCACAGAAGGCCAGGTATGCTGCTTTCTACCCTTTCTGGAGCTACTTCCTGGAGCCAGAGCCCTTCAGGGCCAGCCAGACATAGTGGTGCTTGCCTATAATCCCAGCACTCGTGAGGCTGAAGCAGGAGGATCATTGTGAATTTGAGACCAGCCTGGGCTACAAAGTGAGCTCAAGGCCAGCCTGAACTGCATAGCGAGACCCTGTTTCAAAAAGAGGAAAACAAAAGATATCTGCTGGGAGAACAGAGTAGCTACTGGTTATTTATGGACTGGGTGGGGGAAAGCATGACTCTGCATGGTGGCTAGAGGAGCAATTTTTCTCTGGATAGAAATTCCCTCTAGGATAAGGCAGGAGGCAACTCTGAGGATGAGTTTCTACCCTGAAGAATATGGCTAGTCTGGAGAGGGTGATGGTGAAACATGTCAAAGTGTGGGAGGTACTGGCTATAGCCATAGCTCCTCCTGATGAAGAAGGAGGGGATTGGAGGCGATTCCTAGACCAGAAGCACTTGGAGGAGGGCATATCTGCAGAGAGTCACCTTGTGATGCCCCTGCCTTAAAGGAAGCTCCACTGGCGTCCTTTAGAGGTAATGATACCTGTGTCTTTACTGCTGTAAAGTTTATATCTTCCAAACTTCCTTCTTTCAAAGAAATTCCATGTTAAACTGATGCTGATGGATGTAAAGGCCTCACAAGGGACATGCATGGCCTCACAAAGAACATGAGAAAGAAAGATTATTGATTACCTTATTCTCCCACCTGCTTAGTTCCGCATTCTAGCCACTCGTTGAAACTCCCTGAGACGCATTGTTCCCTTCTTGTAATTTTCCTATAGTTTCTATAGTTTTTTGGAAGACTGCTTCACAAAGACCTTGCTTGCCAAGTAGGATGTGGTTTATGTGGTTTTTTGGCTTAAATACTGCTCTCTCGCCTGGTATGGTGCTGACCTGATCCTACCCTGCGTGGAGGCTCTCAGTCAGTCGCTGGCCAGCTAATAAAAGCTCATTCTAAAATCTCAATTGGCGATCCGTGTGCTCCGGTGAACCTTGGTTTGGTTCTGAGTCCAGAACAATGGAAGGCTTCCTACCTGTGCCTCCAGAGGAGAAGTGAGGACCCCACATATTACTGGTGAAGTTGGCAAAAAGACTTTGATTCCTCTGGTAGGCAGCATCAATTGACCCAGATCAGCTTCCAAGCAGTTACAGAAGATGGACCTCTGGCTTTCAGCTCCTCTTAAAACTGAGATGAGCTGGGTGTGGTGGAGCATGCCTGTAGTCTCAGCACTTGTAGGCTGAGGCAGGAGGATTACTGCAAATTCAAGGCCAGTTTGAGCTACACAGTGAGTTCAAGACCAGTGTGAACTACATAGAGATACCCTGTCTCAAAAAAACAAAAAGCTCAAAAAAGATTAAGGATTGTAATGGTTGATACATTGTGTCAACTTGAGAAATTTAGAAGCTTCATTAAGTTACTCAGCAGTTCTACATCCTGGGGTGTAGAGGGCATGCCCTAGGGTGGCTACTTACACTCCAGGATGTTGTAAAGATTGATTCATTGTCAATTTAGGAGTTTAACAGGTGTTTAGAAGTTTAACAAGTGGCCCAGTAGGGGGGTGAGGGTCCTCGCTTTGTAAATATCCTGAGCCTGTGCAAGAGGAGGGCAGGCAGATGGTGCGAGTGCTACACCTGCCCTAGGGCGGGTAGCCTGCATACAATATAAGGGAGGAAAAGAGGCTTGCTCTCTGGCTTCTCCCCCTTTTTGCTCTTGTTGCTTTTGTGTCTTCTGCCGCCTTGAACTGTTGCCCCTCTGCCGTGTGCCACTCTGCTTGGAGCCAGTTGATTACAGACTGAAACCTCTACACACTGTGAGCTAAATAAACCTTCCTTCTTTAATTTTTGGCTTCGGGTATTTTGTCTAAAGCAATGAGAGAAAAGTAACCAGACAAGGATGCTCTCAAGGGGAAAACCAGACAGAGGAGAGCAGCCCGACTCTCTCATTTTTCCCCGTTCTGGCTAGAGGAAGGATGTGGTGTGGCTAATCACCAGTGTGCTCCTTCCCCTCTCCTTTCCTTGCTCCCTCTCACCCCTTCTGCCAATGGGTGAGA